AATTTATTTGCCAATTGTACAAAACGAAAAGGTCTTTTACTTATATTTCTTAATAGTATAAATATATACTATGTTGTTGTTGGGACTTAAGATTCTCTACAATAGGTGTTTGTGACTTGTTAGCGATAAATTCAACAATAAATGAACAGCACGCACTTCACTTGTTTTCAAAATAATGTATATATTTGGAACAAGTTAAACGTATGTACAACAAATTCTTTACACTATAGAGATTATAGGCATATCATAAAAACTATATATATAGTTCTCTTCTTCTTGTCAAAAGTCCACTTAGGCCTATTCAATTACTTTAGAATTTTAGTTGACAAGCCAAACTATCTTCTCTTTTACTATTGCACTAGTATTTTGAGTTTGATTTACTTGCAGTTGTGGTGTTAGTTACTGTAATCGTTTGGTCTTCTTTCTTCAAACTATCCTGTTCCTTTTGTCTAAGTACACTCAGGCTGATTCAATTACTTTAGAACCACGCTTTGACGGAGTAAATTATTCTTTTTATCTCCTTTTCTACTGTTAGTCTTACTCTTAACATAGTAAACGTTAGGCCTAACACTTCTACGGTAGTAAACGTTAAGCCTAACACTTCTACGGTAGTAAATTCATGCCAAACTTTTCCTTGCCTGTAAGTTTACTCTCCTGCTATTGTCTGTCTGCTGTTTCAGTTCATCTCACACTATTTATATCTCCATGACTTAATCGTCTACCCGCTTTCTAGAAATCTCTATATTCTTGATGTATTGCACATGACAATCGATAGTTTCAACATCAATGACATATAAACACAACTTCCTATAATCTTCTTTTAACTTTTATTATAACAAAAACTAAATAATAATAGAATATTCACTCACAAAAATAAATTAATCAATGATATCTAAACTAAACAGTCTTTTATATCATGACAAATTGTATTAATGAAAAATAATTAGACACCACAATGGCAATATTTTGATTACTTGTATAATTTAAATAATGAAAAAACTAATAATTGTAAAACTAATTTTGATTAGTTGATTATCTTTGTGATATTATTAATCATTTT